AGACATAGAGCTCCAGGGCCAGGGCAACCTGTAGAAAGGTACAGGGAGAGAGAGAGGACACACTACGGGAGGGCGGAGACACAAAGTTAGTGATGTGTAATGGTGGCATATAGAAGCATAGGGAGAGAGAGGAGAGGGAAGAGGAGGAGAGGAGAGGAGAGTAGGAGGGGAGGGGAAAGAAACTCAGAGCATCATGGGGCCCCCAGCAGCCTAGGCCTATAGCAGCATAACTAAGGGAGGGCTCAGGGTCACCTGATCCAGCCCTAACTATAAGCTTTATCAAAAAGGAACGTCTTAAGTCTAATCTTAAAGGTAGAGAGGGTGTCCGCCTCCCGAACTGAGACTGGGAGTTGGTTCCATAGGAGAGGAGCTTGATAGCTAAAGGCTCTGCCTCCCATTCTGCTTCTGTGGACTCTAGGAACCACAAGTAAACCTGCACTCTGAGAGCGAAGTGCTCTGTTAGGATGATAAGGCTCTACGAGGTCTTTAAGATACGATGGAGCCTTGTCATTAAGGGCTTTGTATGTTAGGAGAAGGATTTTAAATTCTGTTCTGAATTTTACAGGGAGCCAGTGGAGAGAAGCTAATATGGGAGAGATATGATCTCTCTTGCTCGTTCCTGTCAGTCCTCTGGCTGCAGCATTTTGGATTAACTGGAGGCTTTTTAGGGAATTATTGGGACATCCTGATAGTAAAGAGTTACAGTAGTCCAGCCTGGAAGTGACAAATGCATTGACCAGTTTTTCATCATCACTTTGAGACAGGATGCTCCTGATTTTTGCAATATTGCGCAGGTGAAAGAAGGCAGATCTAGAGGCTTGGTTTATGTGTGATTTAAAGGACATATTCTGATCAAAGATGACTCCAAGGTTCCTCACAGTAGTACTGGAGGCAAGAGCTATGTCATCTAAAGTAACTATATGATTAGACAGCAGATTTCTAAGGTTTTCAGGCCCAAGTACAATAACTTCAGTTTTGTCAGAGTTTAGAAGTAAGAAGTTGCAGGTCATCCAGGCCTTTATGTCTTTAAGACATGCTTGAAGTTTGACCAGCTGACCTGATTCATTTGGCTTCATAGATAAATATAACTGAGAATCATTTGCATAGCAATGGAAATTTATGTTGTGCTTCCTGATAATATTGCCTAAAGGGAGCATGTATAAAGTGAAGAGAATTGGACCTAACACAGAGCCCTGTGGAAGGCCGTGACTAACTTCAGTTTGTGTGGAACATTCGTCATTAACATGAACAAATTGAAATCTTTCTGATAAATAAGATTTGAACCAACTTAGCGCAGTTCCTTTAATCCCAATAACATGTTCAAGTCTCTGCAGTAAGATGCTGTGATCAGTGGTGTCAAAAGCAGCACTGAGATCTAAGAGGACAAGTATGGAGACAAGTCCTTTGTCTGAGGCTAGGAGAAGATCATTGGTGACTTTCACCAATGCGGTTTCACTACCTACTATGATGGACTCTAAATCCTGGCTGAAAATCCTCAAACAAATCATTCTTGTGCAAGTGGTCACATAACTGCTTTGCAACAGCTTTTTGAAGGATTTTGGAAATAAATGGGAGATTGGATATTGGTCTATAATTAGCTAGGACACCTGGGTCAAGAGTAGGCTTTTTGAGTAGAGGTTTAATTACTGCAAGTTTAAAAGCCTGTGGAACATAACCTGTTAATAGAGAGAGGTTAATCAGATCTAGTATGGATGTGTTGATTAGGGGAAAGACGTCTTTGAGCAGCCTGGTCGGGATGGGGTCCAGGAGACATGTTGATGATTTAGATGAAGCAATTGTTGAGGTCAACTCAGAGAGATCTATAGGGGAGAAGTAGTCCAAGTATAAATGAGGTCTTACAGATGTTTCTAAAGCCATTGTAGTAGATGGCACATCCATGAGAGCTGTGGGAATGGTCCGACCAATTTTTGGTCCAATGCACATAATTAAGGGTACATCATTGTTACATTTGAGAAAACTGAGGTGGCCATTTTTTTCTCTTTATGCAGTCTATTTGTGTCTCTTTGTAACTGTTTTGCATTTTTGTATTATATTGCGGTTGTTTTACATCTATTTGTTTTGAGTCTCTTTGTAGTTGTTTTGAATCGTTGTTGTCATTTTGAATTTCTTTCTTTTTTAGACATTTTGTGTGTTTTGCAGTATTCCATTTTTTAATGCAGCGTCGAGTTCGAGTCAAGTTCTGAAAATCTGGACTGGGGTCCAACTCAAGTCCAGGTCCTGGACTCAAGTACTACAACACTGTTTTGTGACTCTGTGATTGTCATGCATATCTTTTGTTTTCCATAATGCATTCTGTATTATTTACATTTGTTTTTCATATCTTTGTAGGACCTTGTACCCCTGTAGCTGTGTGTATTTGTTGTCATTTTTGATTGTGTTTGTGTAGAGGTTTTGTGTCTCTTTGTGGTTAAATGTAATAATGTATCCAGTCCGTTTTGCTCTTTGAATTAAGAGTTATAGACACAGAAAACTTGTGCTAACTTGTAAACCACTGCAATTACAGCTGTTTATGAGCTCTTATTTTTACGGCGACAGCTTCACGTTTCCGGTTTCTGTCCCGCTGTTTGCTGTCTGACTTAATACAGCTCTGAAGCGGTCAGCTCCATCCAGCTCCGACACTGTTGTCCAGCAGCTGCAGTGGAGACATTTTGGCTCAAACCGGGCTGAAGGTGGTGTCCTGAGCCCCGGGGCGGGTCCGCAGCTGCCCGCTCATGGTAGAGACAATCTACACCCAAAATGGCACATATCTCCCCGGTAACCTCTCCAGTTAAACAGAGAGCTGCCAGCAGCAGCCACTGATCTGCACGATGCAGCAAAGGAGCGATCAATGAAACGTGATGAGACAAGTGTTGGCGGGGATGTAGTGATGCGGAAAACCCACCCGGACTCAGTTAAGCCCCGCCTTATTTACACACAGTCACACTTTAAAATGTTTATTTTATTAATCGATATGGGACCAACTTTTTTTTTACTCCACATACAAATTTAAAATGCTCTTTACATGTTAATACATCAGTGTTAGTATATATTATACACAGTATGAAGAAAGGGACTTAACATTTGATACTTGATGCACTGATACTTATGTACACCAAACCTTTACCCTTATCTGAGCATTTTTACTAGTTTAATTAACGACTGACATTAATACTTCGTCACTCCACTGTAAAATGTGAAAATCCTATTAAAGTTACCACAACTCAATGTAATGCAAGTTTGATCAAATAAAATTATTTTTAAAAGCCAAATTATTAAAAATGCAATTCAAAAAAGTAATCTTCATCTTCCTGAGCTTGTAACAGTAAAGTCTGAAACCTCTACTTGGTGCATAATAAAAATGGATCCACAGTGGTGGAAAGTATTTACTGAAGTACTACACAGCTACAGTTCAGATACAGTGTTGTTGAATTCAAGGAAGTGCAAAGGAAGAGCTGCACTATGTGGCTTTTTAAAAACTTAACTGTTTATTCTATTTATAAAATGAACATCAAATACAAATATTTCACATACAAAGCCCCCAGAAACCATTTCCTATGTCCGCTAGGAAAGTCATAAATAAGAGAAACACTGATATCCCAGCCATATTTTATAAATTCATTCATTTCCACTATTAGAAGTGATTCAATTGTTCACTCTAACTGAAATCTATTAAGTTACGTTTAACCATGTGGAAAGTCTGCACGGCGCCAAGGTTTGTACAGATCCTCGTTTCTCAGTGCGTCTAAAATATCACCGCCTTCTGAAGTCAAAACCTACTGTGTCCTGCATTTTATTGTTGTGCTGGTGTGCAGCCTGAACCAAAGTGGTTCCCATCCCTGGAGGTGATGCACTGCACCTTTAACAACTGTTTTTCCACAAGAGGAAATGCCCTTTGTGACTCCAGAAGAGGCAAAAGATTAAAAAAGTTGATGCTTAAAGAAAAAAAAAAAGACTCAGTTTCCTTCGTTTTTGGAGGCTTCATCAAAGTTCTCCACAAGATCTGTAAGACAGAAAACAAAATGCATCAGGAGTTTGTTCGACAACTGATGCACAGCAGCATCTGATAAAAGTAGCAGTTTGTTAAAGACAGTGAATGATTTAGTTGTGTACTGTCAGCAGAGGAAACAAAATAAACATTTAAAAACATACATGATCTACATCTCAAAAACTATAAACACCAAAGTTATTGTTTTTTTTCACCAATTCCCTACATATCGTCAGCTTTCAAGAGCCCATGGCATGTTCTCGAACTAACCTCTTGTTTTCAGGAGGAGGCTCTCCTTATGATATTGGGTTTTATTGTTCAGAAATAATTAGACTATTTAGAGTAATAATGGGTGCAAAGCTAATCTAGAGATACCCAAGATTAAACATTAAATGGCTGCAGATGAGTATGCCATGGGCTCTTTAAACAATATAGCATTAACAAACTATACCTGGAACATTGTCATCCTCCTCTTCTGTGATTTCCTCCTTGCCTACTTTCATGTCCCCTGCTGCAAAATGTATCAAGGAGAAAAAAAAAAAAAAAGCAAAAAAGAAGTGAACTACTGTTGACTTATTGTTAGTCTGCCTGTTTCTCCACTAAATAATGCCTTCAAAAAATGGTGTTTTTTCCATTAGGAATTAATTTTCATGACTTACCTTCACACACTGGCTCAAGATGTGAATTATTTGTTTCTTAGTCTGCTAAACTCTGTGACAAAACATTAAAATAAAAAGGTGCTGCTCAAAAAGGACACAATGTGCTCAGCAACAAAAACTGGAACATCTATGATCAGAAAAGAGCAATCAAACACCTAGAACTGACCTTGTGGTGAAGACTTGTTAGGTACTGCCTTTATTTTAGACTGCACAATGTTTTGTTACATAATTAGCTGTGTTGCCATGTGGAAGAGCTGCTCCTGTCCCCTATGTTTCCTTTACTGGGTTTATTGTTTATCTACATGCAGACACTGGGGCCAGCTGAGTAAACCGGGCCATCTAGATGCTCCGCTGGTGTGCTGGACTTCAACTGGAAGAAATCTGCACCCTTTTGAACAATCACTGTCTAAATGTTTATATTCTTTTCTGTTGCCGTTTCCCTGCAGCCCTCACTGCCACAACTTGTTTTGCTATGTTACATTTACAAGTTTCATCTCCACTGGCTCTGCAGTGATTCTAAACAAAGTGCTGCTCTGTGACGCTGCCACACAAATCTGAAAGTACACTGGTATGTTGAAGGCAGCATATTTTAATTTAGGAATCAACCAAAGGGCTTAAGCAGTGTTCAAGAAATTTAATTTAAGACATTTTTAATACACAGAGAATGCAACTTAAAAAGTTAGATGTTTTCCATTCACAAAGAATATGTGATGTTGTGAACATGTGACTGTGTTGTCCTTGAAAATATAACAAATCCTAATTTTTCTAAACTAACCTGCAGTGAAAAAAAAGCATCTTGTATTGGACCCAATACTCACCCCAACACTGTGACCGAGTGTTTAACCTTGTGTGTGTACTCACATTCCCGTGGGAACTGCCCAACCAACTTGCGCAGGCTGCTGAGGTAGTCGGCTCCCAGCTGGCTCAGGATGCCCGGCAGCATCTCTGACAGCTGCTTGTTCTCGATGTGGCCCATGATGGCGAAGGTGTTGGTGGACAGAGATCCCTGCACTTTGGGGTTGTTGAAGTGGATCACTGTCCCATCGTCTCTTATTATATTGACCTGAGAGGAAAAACCTGCACCATCAAGAGAAGTTTAAAATTATTCTTCATGTCTGTTCTACATGTAAAACCAATGTGGGTAAACCAATGGGTGTAAAAGTGTGTTCAACTCAAATTAGATATAATCAACTAAAAAAAGGGCAGAAGAATTGTGGAAAGAGTTTTAACAAAACAAAAGTCAATAGGCAACTAGACTATTTATACAACCCTAAAAATTTACAGCAAATTAGACCCCCTATCCTAAAAAATTCCCAGAAAAAAAAGCTTTATCAGGTGAAGCTGTCTTAAATTAGATCGTAATATAATCTGGAATTAGTACTTTAACAATTCACAGAAGAATACAACAGGTAAATAGAGCCACAACATGAATGAATAAGACAAAAGTCATTCTGTGTATTAAGCTCGTCTTAATCTCAAGTTTCATCTGTTTTTGTGCTTTATTTGAAACACTTTGTGGCAACTTGTTGGATAAAAATAAACTGCATGGTGACATGACTGGAGAATGCTCCTCGTCTTCTATGATACAATGATGAAAGATTCAGGACTCAAAGAGTGCAGCTCCAGCACAATACTGACATCTGAATCTTGTTAGAGACACCTCACCTCTTCTATCCCTGTGATGTTGTGCACTGCCATCTTCTTCAGTGAGCCCTGCAGTTTTTTGTCATCAGCTGTTGCTGTTTTGTGAACAACCTTCTTCTTCCTGCGGGCTGTTCCCTGAGGAAAGAACAGGTGTGGATGCCAAGAAAGGATCAGATGGCTGAATGTACCAACATGTGTGAAACATAGTTTAATACCTCTCCTTTAAATGTTTTCCTTTACTAATTTCTAGACAACTCTGGAGAAGCAGTTACAAACAAAAGACCTAGTTAACACAACAATTAACTATGGCATGCATCATAAATGAGCAGCCTTGTTTATACTACTGTGTTTTTAATGTCTTCATTTTGACTTCAGGAGACTTCACTGATTGTTATCACATTAATCAGTACAAATCCTGCATTGGTCCAGTTGTAATGCTCCTTAGTGTCAATAAATTAAAAGCACCAGCACAACTGCAATGAAACACAGTGAAGAAAGAAAGAAACTACTTGGATCTGACATTTGTGAAACAAAAAGGGGCTCCTGATGCAGCAGTAAGAATATACTGTTCACAAGGAACAGATCTGATTTCCCCCAAAGTCCAAGCTACACTGCTTTGGTATAGTATTTAAAGTTAAAAAAGTCATTATTATCATAGCCAGGTGCTGACTCACTAAGTCAATAGATTAAAGTAAAGTAAAGGAAATCAAAGGGGGGAAACGTCAATGGCCTCCTTGAAACAGTTAAAGCACATTTTGCTTCTACTCACATATGCTTAAACCAGGGATTTTACTGCCTTACAGACTCAAACAAAGATTTCGCACAACATAACTGGCCAGGATCAAAAATCATAACTCTTTGAGACAGATAATGTGTGGGGTCTTCTTGTTACTTATGGTAAATCTTTTTGAGAAGGGCAGTGTAATGGCAAAAGGCACAATGCTGTCTGTCATAGCAAAAACAAAAAAACTAACGCCACCTAGCGTGTGGCTGAAGACCTCACAATGAAGGTGAACAAAGTCACAGAGGTCACACATGAGGGGGTCAAAGCTTTGCCTCCATAAAGGGAATGCCAAGGTCAGCAG